GTTCTTGTGTGATACCTGGCCATCATTTGGGACTGAACCAGCTGATATTAACTTGCACTGACAAGGGGCAGGCTTGTTTTCTAATTACTGAGAGAGCAGCTGGTGTCTTGGCTTTCCATGCCTTTTTACACCTCCCTTTCTTCATGTGTTCAGTACTTTTCCCTGTGCCATTCCACATTATTACAAATAACTTCATTTCTGGACATTTATGGGTTGATTTCTTTATATGTATGGATCACTTGGGTTGTTACTGGCATCTGYRGAAAATTTCATGTCATTAGCACCTCTAGTAATATATGTACTGAGAAAAATGGTGACATGTTCAATACTTATTTTACCTGCTGTAATTGGATCAGTATTTGGTCCCCAGAAGGACAATTGGAAAAYCATTGGTAGAACRGTTTCTGAAACCATACATGGTTCTACCAGAGCTTTCCCAGTAGTCCTAAATAGATAACATAAACCAGACACAAACACACATTGTTCTTCTATCCTCATGGGGACATTGCAGTGACTTCTATTCATTTACTGATCATTTATATAGCCTAACCCTGACCCCTTACCCTAAACCTAACCTCACATGTACATACCTGACTCTAAGCCTAACCTAAACTCAATTCACACGTTAGTTCTAAACTGAACCCCTGACCCACCAAAGGTATTTCCCGCAATAGGGACTGGGCTTTTGTGGGTCCTCACCAGGCTGCGTGTACTGGGAAAATGGTCAAAAATTGTCCCCACCAGACAAGACGCACACACGCACGCACACACACATACACACAAAAAAACAAACAAACAAACAAACAAAAAAAAAAACAGAGACAATTCTTTTAGAGGGGGTAAATACACCCATGCCATTGAACTGTAAGTCTTTAATAACTAAAAATGTATCCATACAAAAGTATATGTACATGGTCACTTGTTGATGTATATAGCAGTTTATGGAAATTATCTAACATGGTTCATCTTTAAATTTTAAATTCAATATTTCCAAACAATCAGCAACCATGTTASAGGATCTGGAACACTTAGTGGACTGATGAAGTCTAGGTTTATCAGGTCATGTGATCAAAACAACTGTCTGAGTTCAGACCCCTCCAGTGGGTTTGACATCAGGCCAAGAGTTAACTGTCTTTATGAATGAGTCCATGTTCTGGTAGCAATACATAATACAGCCTGGTTTGTATCCAGTATGTAAAGGATACGTACCAAGTACTTACTTACCATAGCCATGTACAATATACTAGTGTTCCTGCTTTCTCTTGTTGGAAGATGAAATCAGCAGGAGGAAGTTCACAGAGTCTACCATGTTGTGTTTTAGGAGCTGACATCTATGCACTAGTGATGTTGGGCTTTAAGTTCCAACAACTCCCCCTCACACAATCATGACACAAGCTTTGGCCTAAACATAAAATTCCTAATTAAAGCTAATCTTATTAGAAATAAATATGTTTGACCATACAGCAGCAAGGGATGAACTTTATGACTCAAGAGTCAATACCTTCAAAAATATATGACTTGTTCTTTGTCCCTTCTAATAGTTAAGATGTATTTGCTTACATAGAAGGGCAAGACTGAAAACTTGTAATGGGACCAACCTGTGAGGACACTGTGACATCTCTGGCTTTAACTTCTATCTTCCCTTATAGAATCTAGTGATTTAATACAAGGTGTTGTTTCTTACTGGGTACTTACTGGGATTGTACAATATATGGTACACAGCAGTCTGTATTACGTATTGCCACCCTTGTTTTGATGAAATAAAACTTTTTTTTTGTTTGAACTCACTTGTAGTAACACACAAAGCAACAACTGAATACCAGTGCAAAAAAGTGTTCAGGACAGATGAGACAAAAATCAAGCATTGGGGGTCTATCAACAGTTAGAGGGACGCCTGAGAGACACATAATAAAAAGAATCTTGGTCAACTGGAGGTGGATGTTAGGAGTAAAATTAATTTTCATACAGTTAAAAAACAAAACAAAACAAAACAAGAAAGCCAAACAAAAACAGAACAATTGCACTGTATCCCTGCCATTTGCTGTGAAGTCCGACTTGTRGCGTGTCATTTTAGGACCTGAAGGAGAAACTTGTGAAGAGAAAAGTCTGTCACAGTGAAGAGGTTTCTCCGAACAGACTCGTGTTTGTYGCCTCCACCTCACTTTTGTGAGAACAGAACGTCTGCAAAGCTCATAGGTGGGGCTGTGTTTCCTGTGATAGAGCGACTTTGTTAGCATGCTGCTGTGAAGTGCACACTTCTACTTCACATCGAAGTGCGTTTGCTCCTGCACACATCCACTGACATTTATCCTGAACGACGGCGCTGGAATCATGATCTGCACTCAAAAGGTAGAAGCACTGGGACAGCCTGCTTCAAAAATAACTTTCAGTGCACTAATGAGGAGAAACATGTCAAACAGAATGTGCAGAACTCCACTTTGGGTTTAGACAGAAGTTCTAAATGCAGTTTAGGATGGGATGCTGTGCCCCTCGTCTGAGCAACAAGTCACACYCAGTCTCTGTAATGTCACCTAGACCTTTCACCTGGGATTCCTAAAGGGCTATTTTGTTCAGTTTGAAGTGAGGTTCTGTGCAAAAGGTATGAGTAATAATATCTTACCTGTTGTAGYTAGCTCTTTGAATGATTCCAGTTTAGAGAAACAGGTTAAGTCGAGCTAACAACGATTCTGAAGACTGCTAATGCATAAAAAATTTGGTTGTGGATTGCAAGTGCAAATTGGAGCAGCACTTCCTTGTTGTGARGTTTGACTTTCTGAGGTATTATCATAATACTTCTGCTGGAATAAYCGTGTAACACAAAACTAATGACAATGTAAAAGTCAAAATGAATAAATGTTAAGCTGCTATGAAATTTACAAGATAAGAGCTTCAGCCATCAGATTTTGAAGTGTATCTGAGCAAAGTCACCATTATTTACCATTAACTAACTGCTGTTATAGCTGCTTTTACTGGCAAATAACCACACAGTTTAAGAAAACATGTACTGAAAAACAAARGGCAATGTTAAGGTCAATGAACCACTATGAAGTAGTGAAGTCTGGAACAGTTTTTAAATGGCAGCAATCCACTTTACTGGCATAATTTAGTTCTGATTATCTAAGCTGAGACTGTTCAAGGAGCTATCTACAACAGCAAGTATAARTGCTCATGACTTTTCCATAAATCAATAATTAAAAGTGACAGGAATACCTCTTTAAACCCCAACTGAAGCCATTAATGATATCAAATTMCATGGAAGTGCTGTCTTGTGTTTTGAAAAACATAATCATCATCAAAAAAAAGGATCATTAGGAAAATTAAAGTGTCAGGTAAGTGTCACTGATTTACAATGGTTGGTGAGCAGTTAAGTCTTCAACATGTCCTGAAACTCAATTTTCCCAATTTCCTCATCAGTTGCAGAGGTCCAGCCTTGTTGTCTGAATCTTTAACTTCATTATATTTTGTCCTACATACTTTCTTTGAAAATAGTTGCAGTGTAATTGTCTCAAGAACACTAAGGCTATATTTTGACACCTGCATGGGAGCTGCCCCTGAAAGAAAAGATGTCCATTTCAAAATTGTACTTCTGTAAATTCAATTATAAATGTGTGGATGGAGGTCGGCAATGGAATAAAGATTTGCAAGCTGTTTTCTTGCAATTTTGAGTCACCAACAATTGCAGTTCAGTGAGATCCTACCTTTACTGTCCCAGAACTTACACTTTTGATCATTTATGAACAAGATTACTACGGAAATGTTTACAATAAGTGCAAATTGGTTGTTGAGGAACAGCTCTTTGGCCTTCAGAGCTTCGGAGCAGTTGAGGAGTGAAGACCACACCTCTTACATCTCAGTTTCTCTCCCTGCCTTGCATTTGTCTGAATTGAACTGTGAGTTTTTCCAAAACTTTTTTTTTCTCTCCTCAGACCCTCGGGCTCACTTGTCAGAGTTCTTGCGTGGCATGCGGAAGCTGGATGTGTTCTCGTTTAGTGCATAGATGCGCCTGGAGAACTCCTCAAAGACGGCCAGCTCACCCAGCACCTGTTCYTCGCACTCCACAGCCACGGCGTGGTCCACGGGGATGCACTGGTAGTCTTCCAGTTGGGCCTCGCCCGCTAGCCCCACCCCCAGGCCTATCCCTGTGGCCTCTGTGCCCATGATCTCTTCAGCCTGTTCGACAGAGCACTGAAGCCCTGGGACTAGACTAACAGGSGGCTGTCCTGGTACTAATGAACCATTCATGTGCTGGATGGCCGACACGGTTTCGTTGCTGACGTCCTGTTTGGTGAATGAACTGGACGCACCGGTGCTGCTGGTTGGCTGCTCTTTAGCGTCATCCTCATCTGCTTCAGTCTCTTTAACAACTTTGCCTTCCTCCTCTTTCATGGCTGTCCCCCCACACTCCTCCATGTCCTCCTCCTGGTCTCCAGCCTTACTGGCCTCAGTCATTGTGGTGACATTATGTGAGGCCATGCTGGGATCCAGTGAGGAGGACAGCTGTTTGGGCGGGGTCAGGTTAACGGGAGGCTGCTGTTCACCAGTGGCTCCAGCGTTGCTCTGAGGAGGCGTTAACTTGCTTTTAAGTTGTGCTTCATCCTCCGAGCTCGCCCGTTTCCTCACACTTCGCTCTGGAGAGCTGTTGTTGTAAGGGTAATCCATCTCTGACGCTGCAGAAACACTCAGCTGGGGCTTTATGGGCACTGGGATAGAACTGGAAACGTGATGTCGGTCACTGTGAGAAGCAGGAAGAAAAAAGATCCAATAAGTGAGAAGCCAGAAAAAGAAATGCAGAATTCAGACTAAAACACAAACGGCAASAAGAGAAGAGTTGGACTTTAAAGATGATAAAAGGCTCAGAAACAATTTAAATTTTAAAATGTCATTTAGAACTCAATCAGGGTTCCAACAGCCTAAGGCAAGTTAATTCTAAGTCTTTTTAAGACCTCTTTAAAGTGTATCTTACCCCGCTGTGAAAAGATAACTCCMCCCCAAGGCGAAATTTGAAAAATGCATCAAAGTGGGTAGGGGAGGGGGMGTTAGAGAGCGGAGGTTTGGCCAGGACGAAACAACGTGACAGCTAGCATTAGCTTAATTGATGCAACATGGAGAGTGTCGCAGATAGTTACATCTATGAACAGTCTGAGGTGGAGGATTTTTCACCCCCCTCCTCACCAGAGGCAGAGAGAGACTTGATCAAGTCAGCTCAGTCTGGGACTGACTCGTGTTGCCTCCCTGGATCAGGACACGGCACGCTTTACCGCAGCCTCGGCTGAGCTGTCCGCCTCACACCACACCAGCCCCGGACAGAGGAGGTGGAGCGCTCCGACAGCCTGACAGAAAAAAATAAAAGCATACAGCTGCAGCTGCTCACAAGATGGCTAGTTTAAATCAGGAATAAAAGTGTTGGGTCTTGTTTGACTGAAGTTCGGTCCATTAGGGCTGCATCTGCCCCGCTGTGCTGCGCTCTGTCTGCCTTTTGTCCCCCTCCCGCTGTGCAGGACGTGCAGTGGGCTGGTGTAGAGAGAGAGAGAGTGAGAGAGAGAGAGAGAGAGAGAGAGAGAGAGAGAGAGAGA